TCTCTCTCTCTCTCTCTCTATTTCTCTCTCTCTCCCCCCTCTCTCTCTCTCTCTCTCTCTCTCTCTCTCTCTCTCACTCCCCTCTCTCTCTCTCTCTCTTTCTCTCTTTCTCTCTCTCTCCCTCCTCTCTCTCTCTCTCTCTCTCTCTCTCTCTCTCTCTCTCTCTCTCTCTCTCTCTCTCTCTTACTCTCTCCTCTCTCCTCTCTCTCTCGCTCGCTCTCTCTCTCTCTCTCTCTCTCTCTCTCTCTCTCTCTTACCATTTTCCCTCTCTCTTCTCGTGCGCGCACACGTTATCGATTTCACTGCTAATTACAGCAGAATCCTGCATGACTGTCTATATAGAGAAGAAACGTTCGTGCGACCAAACACGTAATGTCACGCAACGCACACGCTCGCTTCTCACAAGTTCTACACCAATGCCCGCTACTTCATATTAACCAATGCGTCCATATTAATCCACGTGCGTGCGTGCTTGCGTGCGTGCTTGCGTGCGCGTGTGTGTGTGTGCGTGCTTGCGTGCGCGTGTGTGTGTGTGTGCGTGCTTGCGTGCGTGCGTGCGCGCGTGCGTGCGCGCGCGCGTGTGTGTGTGTGTGTGTGTGTGCGTGTGTGTATGTGTGCGTGTTGACGTGGCCGCGATGAAATTCATCTCTTCTCTCTTCCCCCCGCACGCACGCACACACGCCCGCCAGCACGCACGCACGCACACGCACACGCGCGCGCGTACCTTCCGTGTAATCGAAGTCGCCGCCAGCCTCGGCCGTGCCGTCCTCCGTCTTGAAGTCGACGTAGAGCGTGCTCTGCAGGTCGCCGCCGTCGCGCACGACGCACACGCGCATCGTGCCGACGTTCTCAAACACCGTGTAGTGACCCGGCTTGAAGCTGACCTTCGTCACGTGCGCGTCGACGTCGGCAAGCTTACTCGTCTCCTCCGGCTGGTGCTCGAGCGCCTCCAGCCGCTTCTTCGTGATGATATTCCCGCCACCGGTGAGCTTGCGCGTCGCCTGTATGCGGTAGAAAGCGCGCGACTTCGGGCCGCGGTTCATGATCTCGAAGTTGGCCATGTGCTCGAGCGAGTCCATGTCGGCGTCCGGGTGCTTCTTGCGCAGCTCGCGCAGCACCTGGATGTACTCGCGCCGATTGTTCTCAAACTCGCGCACCTCCTCGCTCTCGGCGACGCTCATGCCGCGCATGATGCCGTCGGCGATCGCGTGATTCTCGCGACCGTACGCGTCGCCGACGCCGTCGACCTTGCTCATCTCTACGTCGCCGTCGGCGCTGCCCTCGTTGGCGACGACCACCTGGTGCGACTTGCGGTAGCGGTGCGAGAGGAAGCGGTCGAGGAAGATGCGCTTGTCGGCGAGGTAGGCCGTGAGCACGGTGAGCGGGAAGCACATGAGCGTGACGATGCCCTCCCACACCTCGACCTCCTGCGGCGAGATGACGGCGATGATCAGGTAGAGCCAGATGTAGGCGAACAGGCTCCACGTCGACGTGATGAAGAAGACGCGCAGGTGCTTGACGCGTCGCACCTCGGACGACGGCACGACCCACACGCACAGCGCGATGATCATGAACATGTTGAACGCCGCCGAGCCGACGATCGTGCCCGGACCGAGATCGCCGGCCTTGAAATTATTGCCGCAGATCTCGATGACGGACAGCAGAATTTCCGGAGCGGAGGAACCGAGCGCCATCAGCGTCAGATTGGAGACGGTCTCGTTCCACACGCGCACCGTCATCGTCACCTTCTCGCCGTTCGGTCGCTTGATGGTGACGACCTTCTCCTGCGACGTGATCACCTCGATGGCGGCCATGAAGCGGTCGGCGATGATCGACACGCCGAGGAACATGTAGGCGAGCGCGGCGAAGTAGACGACGGTGCGAGCCACCTTGTCGCCGACCGTCAGGTTTTCGTTCGGCAGCCACGCCGGCAAGATCACGCCCGGCTTGCACTTCTGATTGCCGCCCGGACACGTGCCGTTGACGGCGAGGCGAGCGCTCGCGGCGGGAGCGAGCGCAACTAGTGCGAGCGCGAGCACGATGGCGCGCGTCGTCGTGCGCGCGACGGACGTGGCGGCCATGTTTGTTTTGGATGATCGGGAAGAATGGGAACAGGCGTAAGAGGAGAGTTACGCTAGGAACTGTATACGCGCGCGTGTACGCACACCGGTATGCGAGCGCTTGTTGGTAGTAGTAGGCACGTGTATCACGCAGCGCCGCGTCTAGCATAGAGCGGCGACAACGATGACAATGGCACAATTATCACAGCGCGATATATATATATATCCTCGTACATGCGCGTGTACGTGCGTGCGTGCGTGCGTGCGCGCTCACCATCCGATTGCTCTACGTGTATCTCCGCGCACGAATACCATCCGATGCTTGCACACGCCGCCTGCTGCCGTACACGTTGTCTCACACATCACACACTGACACACACATCCACACGCGACACAAGATTGAGAGAGAAGGGAAGCAGAGCAGAGCAAGCGACTCCCGGCGCGTCTCTCAGCTCTGACACAGATTCGCCGGCGACTCCGCGCTGAAATGGCAGCGATGATAGCAGCAGCAGTAGCTGCTCTATCCCGTTAGCAGATCCAGCGTCTAGCAGAAGACGGAGACGCGAACTTGTGGTATGCAGCGTCAGCCGCAGCAGCAGTAGCAGCAGCAGCGACAGTAGCACACAGCTGGCTCACTACTCACAGCTCGCCGAAAATAGATGGCAGTGATGTGTGATGTCGACGGTGGCGCCCCCGCATCGCTCGACCGGTCAACTGGCGGACAGCGTGTAATGGCAACAGCTGCCCCTGCGAAGAAACACAAACACATTGAGGTTATGACGATCGCTTTCGTGCATAGCTAACCGCCTTGATTAGCTCTAGTATTGCCATTCCGCTGATAAATAGGCTATTTAGGCTTCTCGCGCGGTACGTACGCGGTAACGCGCCCGTGTTTGTATGATATACGCGTGATATACGACCCGTACGTATGAGGAGCTGCATCGGATCAAGAGTCCATAATAGAAAAAGATTCTCTAAAAGATTCTCTAAAAGATTCTCTGAAAGATTCTCTAAAAGATTCTCTAGAAGATTCTCTAAAAGATTCTCTAAAAGATTCTCAAGAAAGATTTTCTATTATGGACTCTTGATCCGATGAAACAGATTACGCTACAGGTTTAAGGAGGGGCAGTAGATTGGTTGTTGGTTGTTGCTCAAGTAGCCACGTTATCGTAACTGTAGAACGCTGGATGCGCAAGGTAAAGCGTAGAATTGGCATCGCGCGGGCTGGGCGAAGAATCTTATTACATAGTGTATCCCTATCTCTTAGAGATGAGGGGAGAAATATGTTGATGGGAACTTCCTTCTCTGTGTCTCCAGGCTTAGGCACCAGCGTGCCTGAATGAGAGGAAAGAGAGATGAGAGAAGATATACGTGGATGGGTCCGTTCTCTGTCTCTCCCGGCTTAATTAGAAGCGTGCCTGAATCAGGAAGTGTCAGTGAGGAAGGAAGGATGCTGAGTGGAGGAGTTACTAACTATTGCTACGACATATCCCTGGAAGAATAAAACGAGACAGAAATGTGTGGATGTGTGCTGGGCTACTGATCCTGCCATTATAGCTAAAAAAAGGAATGGGAAGACGCGGTAATGCATGTGTGTGTGTGTGGGGGAGGGGTTACTGACTGTTATTATTGATACGTAGAAGAATGGGGAGAAAGAGAATCGTGTGAATATGTGTGGATATGATACTGTGAGTATCGCTCCCTGTGTGTGGCTATTCTTGCCGTTATTAGCCCATTATGATATCCTCTTGAAACAGAGAGTGAATGAGGTGAAGAGAAAGAGAGAGAGAGAGAAAGAGAGAGAGAGAGAGAAAGAGAGAGAGAGAGAGAAAGAGAGAGAGCGTATTATCTTGCTCCAATTACAACGTTATGGAGTTTACCCCTTTCCACGTTATCGCAATTAACTGCCAACGCTTTCGGCTATTGGAAAACGCAACGATGAGGAATCTCAGATGCTAATAATTATCCTGTGTTAGACATTAGCGCTGATGAGAGGCATCTCGGGTTACTTCTAGAGATGCTGACGAATTTCCATGGTGCGATTGTGGACTTTAATTGGTGCGAAGTCAAAATACAAATACAAGGCATACAAAATAAATTAATGAGTGAATTATTAAGTGAGTGAATGAATGAATGAATGAATGAATGAATGAATGAATGAATGAATGAATGAATGAATGAATAAATGAATGAATGAATGAATGAATGAATGAATGAATGAATGAATGAATAAATGAATGAATGAACGTGGGCTACTCGTAGCAAACGATCACGTTGCATAGAACTAATCGGCGATATCAATAGAACGTTCCGGACGTTAGTTATTCAAACACTCATTATTATCGAGTTCCGCATGTTATAATTATGTGTGCGCGAGTCCGTGTGTGCGTGCGTGAGACCGTGTGTGTGCATGAGGTCGTGCATGCGTCGATGAGTCAATGTATACGTGAAAAAGACCGTACGTGCGTGCATTATTCCGTGCGGGCGTGCGTGCGAGGAGTGCGTGGATGAATGAACGCGTTTGTGGGCGCGTGCGTGTAGATGCGAACTTTGTCGTAACTTGCATGTAGTTGCCATGTTTGTGCGTGCGTGCGTGCGATGATAGCGCGCGTGTGTGCGTGAGTGGGCATCTGCAACTACGTGATGATTAACCGATTAAAACCAAGCTATTAGCACTCACTTGCAAACGCAGTTTTTAAATACGTCAATTCAACAATTTATCATCGCTGTGTTTAACGTTTATCACTGTTTTGGCGTTAATGGCCTGTTACCTTTCACATCACAGCGTTAACATTCTGACGCATGTATTTCGCCATAATACGTGCCGCTAAAAATCAACCGATGCACTATATATCAAACCAATCTTAGAACCGACTGTCAGTGATATCAACTTTCTTTACGTCGTAACCCTTATATTTTGCCGCTGATTTTGATAAGTACGCCCACACAAAAACGCACACATTCGCCATCTTTGTTTTTGATAAAAAGTCAAAATACAAGAGTTTTGTTTGCTTAAAATACTTCCGATCGTATTAAAGTTCTGAAATAAATTGTGCGTTAAGCATAATCCTAAAAAACCGAAACGTGTTTATTTTTCGATTGTTAGCTGGCAAACCGCTTGTTAATTTTAACACCAGCTTGTCAACGGTTTAGTAAAAATGTGTTAACGTTCGTGTTGCAATAAAGGTCTTATTCAATCCTATGTTAATACTGTCACAAGTACATCATTTCCTTACCAACAAGCCTGCTGCCGTTGTAAAATCAAGGTGATAGCGTTTTACCGGCACTTCCGTATAATGACTTATCGGCCGTGTTAGAATAAAAGATCCAACATGCGCCGGCTAACATCGTTAATTCCAAAACAAATTCCAAAACAAACATGTCGAATTAATTCGGGTAACGGCACGTTCATGACCGTTCTGGCTGGAGAAAGAAAGGCACTGTCGACCTGCAGCTTTGCGCCCAAACCTCATGATTAAACGGTTTGTTTTAGATTATATTATCGGTACTGATGATACGGGGGATGTCTTCGTCATCCGGAGGTTACCAGTGTCACGAGTGCACGAGTAATTTTCCCGCAGAGCTTCAGAAGCATAACTTGTATCCTACATCTAAGTCTCTGTCACTGCTGCTGCTGCTGCTGCTGCTGCTGGTGGTGGTGGTGGTGGTGGCGCTGCTGCTGCTGCTGCTGCTGCTGGTGGTGGTGGTGGTACTATTGATGATACTGCTATACTGCTGCTGTAGCTGATGATGATTCTGCTGCTGCTGCTGCTGCTGTTGCTGCTGCTGCTACAGCTGCTACTACTATTGCTGCTACGGCTGCTACTGCTGCTGCTGCTACGGCTGCTACTACTGCTGCTGGTGCTGCTGCTGCTACAGCGGGCGGAATGCTGCACGTGTTAGACGCTAATTAAAATAGATGAGCGATAGGAACACATGGCTTCCTAATCGAGACTCCGCAACCATGAAGCTAGGCCGTGCAAGTATTTAGGAATATGTAAGCCTTATCCTCGGCATTTGCTCTTCTTACCCCCTCTTCCTCTCTCTCTCACTTCTCTCACTCTCTCTGTCTATCTCTCGATCTCTCTCTCCCACACTCTCTGTCTTTCTTTCTCTCGCTCTCGCGCTCTCTCTCTCTCTCTCTCTCTCTCTCTCTCTCTCTCTCTCTCTCTCTCTCTGTGTCTCTCTCTCTCTCGCTCTCTCTATTT